TAGCTAGGATTGCAGGTGTGAGCCACCAGCTACCAGCAATCTAAACTCTTTATAATTGGGCCCTGCCTTGTTGCCCAGTCTTTCTGTATTCCTTTTTTAAAAGTAATTATTTGTTCACTCAGCAATTGATTCATTCTTTCATTTTCTTAGCAAACACTTATTGGCCACTTACGTGGGTCAGGCCTTTGCCTCTGTGATTAAGTATGTGCCATTCAACAGATCCTTCGACATTTCACTGACCTCTTGGTAATCAGGGTAAGCTCGGTTAAAATGCAGTAACAAATTTGCTCTGAAATCTCATTGTTTTAACTCAACAGAGTTTTACTCCTTTTTTTTTTAATTTTTATTTTATTCATATGTGCATACAATGTTTGGGTCATTTCTCCCCCCTTCCCCCACCCCCTCCCTGTCCCCCACCCCCTCGTTACCTGGCAGAAACTATTTTGCCCTTATTTCTAATTTTGTTGAAGTAAGAGTATAAGCAATAATAGGAAGGACCAAGGGTTTTTGGTAGTTGAGATAAGGATAACTAGAGTTTTACTCCTTGAAGTGTCTGTCAGTCATGGGTTTTCAGAGGCTCTGAAACTCTTCATTTGGGGCCTGGGCTTATAGCTGTACCAACTGAAATTCACAGTGTTCTTGGGTACTATGACAGAGATGGAGGAAAACAAGACCACCTTCTCACTGCCTCCACCCACAATGACACATGTTTCTTCCCACATTTTGTTAGCCATTCTTGTCACATGACCCTACCTTAACAGCAAGGGGGAATGGAAGCATGTGGAATGTCTGGTGAGCATTCTGGTCTCTGCCACAGTTACTGGAATGTGACCAGTCACCTGACCTTAAATTTCTCTAACCACCTTGTTTTTGTGTTCCACTTCCATGGTCACATAGCAGGCAAAGATTTTTTTTGTTAAGTGCATGTCCTTCTTGAGCTTGGGTTTAAGCCTGGGTTAAGGTTTTGGTGCCATTGTGATATCTGGTGCATATTTCAATCAGAGCACTTCTTACTTGTATGATTATATAATTATACTCCTATATAATTACTTTTTTTCCCCCTTCTTTCACTAGTTCCTTTAGGGTAGGGACTGTGGTTTTGTATTCGTTAAAAAACTTAACAGTAAGCAATATTAAAGGAAAAACCCTAAGAAAGCATTGCCACATTTGTCTCTCCTCCCATTAGGCTTATCATTCCCATACATTTCTTTAATTTTTCACTGCACACGTGTGTCCCTAATCAATATAATGATTTTCTCTCTCTGTCCATATGGAAAATAAGTTGTCCCTGCCCTACCTGTTGATTTCTGCCTCTTGGCAGAGCCAGTATATCTATCATGAATTCAAGAGCCTGTCTGTGAGTGGCATCTTTGTATCTGTCTCTGCACAATCTATAACTACAACTTCATAAAGGTCTGCTACCTGGCTTGACATACGTCCACGTTGGTCTGCCTCAAAATGACAGTGATCTTGATCTCTTCCTCCAGTTCCTGGCTCATGGTAGTGCTTAATAAATGTTGAAGAAATGACAAAATCTGGGTTTTTTTCCCCTTAATATGTCAGTTTCAGAATCTTTTAGGAGCTTTGCCATTTAATTTTTCTTTTTAGAGCATTTTGTATTTTAAAATCAAGCTTCAGAATAAGAATTTAATGTGGAAAGTCCTGGTTTTGATCCCAGCACCCTAAAAGAAAAAGAATTTAGTGACCAGAAAGCACCACTTAGTATTTTATGAGGCAGGAAGAAGTAAAAACCCTCTGCTAAAGTAAGGAATTTTTTTGAGAGGGGGAGGATTTTTTTGCAGCTAATTTTCAATAGGTTGTCAAGGAAACTTACTGAGGCAAGCTATTTTACCAATAATAGTGTTTGCTTTGAAGTGTGACTACAAAGTAATGAGGTTTGCTTTTCCAGGCTCATTATTATAGGTAGTCTTACTTTATATAGATAGGCTTTGAATGTGTTAACACATTCTAGATTTACTCATTACTGTTTCACATTTTAAAATACAGTGTGTTCTGTTCCATTCAAACAGCACCCTACTAGGTGCTGGCTCTGCCAGGAGGTTGAAATTTAAAAAATTGGTTATACTCTATGTCAGGTTTTTCTTTTCTTTGCTCGGCTTTGAAATATCCCTATAAAGGTTTTTCATGTGCACTATAGCTTAATTGCAATGTCTGGGAAACATTTTGTGAGGAAGTAGAAACCACAAAAACATTTTGTGATATTGTCATTTATATAACAAAGCAATAAAGGATTAATCCTTTTACTACTTCTTCAATACTTGTAGGTTATATGTAACTTAAAGGCCATTGTTGGACCATCTTTGGAGGACTTTTTTTTTTTTTTTTTGTACTTTGTAACTTAACATTCATGTTTGTATTTGGGTTTTTTTATTTTCCTTTTGGCTGTACTGGGGTTTGAACTCAAGGCTTCATGCTTGCTAGGCAGGTGCTCTATCACTGGAGACACCCTGCCAGCCCCTTTTTCGGTTGTGTATTTTTGAGATAGGATTTCAAACTGTGATCCTTCTGATCTCTGCTTCCTGAATAGCTAGGATTGCAGGTGTGAGCCATTGGTGCCAGGCAGATTTCTTTTTCTTTTAAAAGGAATGCTTAAAAATGTAAGTGATCTCAGTTAGAATGAGTATAGCAGTGATTTCCTTTTTCTTTTATGGAGATAGCACTTTAGTTTTATAACATAGTGTAAAACTAATAACCTTCTGGAAGGGTGTTCCCATGTAGTGAGAAGTAAGTAGTAGCACTGACTGGCTGTGTGCCACCATGATTGGCTTGTATCTTCTTTTACTTTAGCATAGTGTTTTCAAGGTTCATCCATGCTGTACATGTATCAGTAATTTGTTTCTTTTGTGGCCAAATAATATGCCATTGTATGTGTAAGTATTTTGTTTATTCATCCATTGATGACATTTGGGTTGTTTCTACCTTCTTGTTCTTTTGAAATGTACTGCTGTATATATTTGCATGCAGATATTTGTTTGAACACCTATTTTCTTTGTGTGTAAACCTAGGGATGCTTGAATCATTTTTATTCAAGCAGTGTACAAGGGTTCTGATTTTACCATGTCCTTGTCAGCACTTGTCATGTCCCTCTTGTTTGGATATTAGTGGATGTGAAGAAGTATCTCTTTGTTTTTACTTGGCATTTCCCTAAGGACCAACAATGTTAAGCATCTTTCCATGTTTATTAGCCATCTGTATATCTTCTTTGGAGAAACGTTTGTGTTTTTGTTGAGTTGTAAGAGTTCTTATATATTTTAGATACCAGACCTTTATTTATTTATTTTTTTGGCAGTACTGAGAGTTGAATTCAGGGCCCCACACTTCTAGATAAGTGCTCTACTGCTTGAGCCACACTCTATCCCTTTTTGCTTTTGGTTATTTTTGAGATAGGGTCTCATGTTTTTGCCAGGGCCAGGTTGGACCTTTATCTTCCTACTTATGCTTCTATGTAGCTGGGACAATAGGCATGAGCCAACTCATCCTACTTTTTGTTGTTGTTACTGAGATGAGAGTCTTGCTAACTTTTTGCCCAGGCTGATCTCAAACTATAATCCTCCTGATCTTTACCTGCTGAGTAACTGGGATTACAGGCATGAGCTACCACACCCAGCTCACATAGATATCAAACCTTTATTAGATATATGACTTACAGGTATTTTCTTCCATTCTATAGGTTGTCCTTTTATATTCTTGATAACATCGTTTAATGCATAAAAATGTTAAATTTTGATGAAGTTATCTTTTTGTCATGGTGTTGCTCATGCTTTTGGTGTCATATCTAAGAATTTGGCAGTCTTGCCAAATCTAAAATCATGAAGATTTACCACTGTATTTTTTAAAGTATTTTATAGCTTTAACTCTTAACATTTAGGTTTCTGATCTATTTTGAGTTAATTTTTGTATATTATCTGAGGTAAGAGTCCCAGTGAGGACTCTTTTTATAATGGGAAAATGTCATGATGCCTCTGCATTATAATTCTAGTATCTTTTAACTGAATATATATGCATACCAACAAAAACTACTGTAGATTTCAGAGTTCTTAAAATTATTCTGCATTACATTAGTCAAAGCAGAACTTTTATATGTATATATATATATGTATACACACACATTTCTAAAAATAGTACTTATAAGAATACAACATAGGAGCTGGTGGAGTGGCTCAAGTGGTAGAGTACCCTCCTAGCAAGTATGGGGCCCTGAGTTCAAATGCCAGTATTGCCAGTTAATATACATATTCACACAGCATCATTTTTTCAGTCATTGGGGTGAATTTCCAGGAGCCCATAGTTGCGGAGACCTCAACAAGGGATGGGGAAGATGACAGGAGGGTGGAAGGTCAGTAACCAGAATTCCCTTACAGATGCTGCCATGGCCTTCTGGTTACTGGAAATTCTATCTTCATCGTTAATCTCTTTTCTTCCTGTCACAATAGAGTCTCCTGATGCTCATCTACAAAACCTGTAGTGTGCATACTAAGAGGAGACTATGGAGTTACAGGAAGAGAATCTATGAATCTGTATGCAGTTACTAATTTATAGCCCATAGACTGAAAAATAAATGTTATTTTCTTACAAGTACAATTTGAGAGCTTTAGAGTACACTGAGAGCTTAGAACCTACGGCCATCTGATAGAGCAGGAACTGGGACACACAGGAATGAGAACCTTGGTGGGAACGTGCCATACTGTGCTGATAACCCACAACTAATGCCTCCTCACTTCTGGACAGCTCTTTTAGTGCTTACAGACTTACCAGTAACAGTTTTAGGTTTTTAGTCTTTTTGTCACCTTGTTAGGTCTGTCTTCTACAGGCTTTAGAGAAGGGCAGAGTGTCTCTCCACAGAAATGAATGCTTCCTTTAAAAAGTGACTTGGAGAAAGGAAGCAGAAGTAGTTCTTACTTTAGTGTTTGTGGGTTTAAACTCTGTATGAATGTATTCTTATGAATTTTTAACCCCTTATGTGACCTCTGTAACTTCAGGTGCTGCTCGTGAGCAGTAGTCGCCACCCAGACCGATGGATTGTCCCTGGAGGAGGCATGGAGCCAGAGGAGGAGCCAAGTGTGGCAGCAGTCCGTGAAGTCTGTGAGGAGGTATGCACTGAGAAAAAGGGCACATCTGCATGTTGAATCTTGAACCTGTCCTGTTCTGTATAGTTCTTTACTTATCACTACTCCCTGAGTAAACATGCTGATGCTCACAGAGAGCATTTAGTCGTTACTGCGTGCCTTCTTGATTTAAGGGGGTGATTGGTTGTGACTTGATAGTGTTTATCAGGCAGTCTATGCAGGAAAAAGGCTGTCATGACCATATCTAATAATACCTGACAGTCCTTTGTAGCTTCCAACATTGCCTGTGTTACCTGTGACAGAAGATCAAGTATTAACCCTAAGAAATAAGAGGGCCAGTCTGTATTGGTGTAGATGGCTCATTCTCGTTGGCCTCTGGAGGAGATGGAGGAGGCCCTTGTTCTTCCTGGGTCTAGCTGTGTGGAGTAGTGGAATAGTGTGGAATAGTGGCCAAAGCAACTCTTCTGTTAGCCAGAACAGCTTTAGAAATGATAATATCTCCCATTTTATTTAATCATATTATGTTCTGTATACATGGATTGAGTTCCTTGACTATGCCCATACTTTTTATTGTATACTCCAGAATAAGCAGAAGTCAAGAGCTTTCAATCTAGGGGAAAATTAGAAACAGATTGCAATTCAAAACCAAGAGGAAGGAGCTAATGTTTCTCCATAGCCTCTTCTGGTGACACTAGCAGAAGCTAGTGTTACCTCATTTAAGACTTACAGCTCAGTGGTGTTTTATCATCCCCATGTACTTGCCCTGGCACACATAGGTAGCATTTTTAAAATCCATTTTCTTGTCCTAGAGGAAATTTAAGACTGATTCTAGGGATATATAAAATAATACTCAGAATAAGTCTAAGTTCTACATTTCCTTTTGGGTCTAGCTCTTGCCAAAGTCCCATTAGACTAATCTTACCTGTGGAATACCCAAGGAATTCTTTCCTCATTCTGAACTCCTACAGGCCTACATTGGCCTATGCCTCTCTCATTTTATCATGTATCTGCTACTCATAACTAAGCTGTAATCTCTGCAAACAATGATTGTATTTCCCAATTAAAATCTTCCCTTTTTGTTCTGCCATCCTTCGTACATTGGCTTTTGTTTTCAGTCTGTCTCCTTGTTACAACATAGCTATTCCTGTTCCATCTTCTACACACTCTTCAAACACAGGACATATAATTTTGCCTCAGGGGTCTCAAGAAGGTTTCAGCAGACTCCTAGGACTGGTCTTCCAATGTTTCTTCACATGCCCATGCTGGCAAGGAGGGTGAAGCTCCACATTCACACTTACAGAGCTTCACTGGCTATGGTTTGACTTTCAGAAGCCTTTTAAACTAAAACAATTTGAAAGTGTGACGAGTAAGAGAAGATAGAATCTTTAGCATTGATTTTGATAGAAATTTACTTATGTAGGAATGTGACATTATATGCTTATTCTATTATGTTAAAGAGTGAACAGATAATGTATAATTTTGGAATGGAAAAAGTTCATTATGCAGTTTGCATGGTGTCTGTTACAAGTATTTAACTCTGCCTTTGTAGGCAAAAGTAGCCATAGCCAATGTGGTGCATAAATGAATGGGGCTGGCTGTGTTTCAGTAGAACTTTATAAAGATGGGCTAGAGGCATGGCTTAAGCAGCACAGTGCCCTGCCTTACAATTGTGAGCCTGAGTTCAAGCCCTGGTACTGCCAAAAAAGGGGGAAAAAACCCAACAGTGAGTCATAATCCCTGGCTTGGGCCATTACTACTCAATGTAGTATGTGGTTGGTGGACCGACACCATCAATGTTGCCCAGGAGCATGTTATAAATGGAAAATATCAACTCTCAATTCAAATCTATTCTGTCAGAGTCTTGTTTTTGTTTTGTTTTGACTTGCTTTGTTTTTTGAGACAAGCTCTTGCTATGTAGCCCAGGCTGGCCTTGAACTCAGGAGCCTGAGTGCAGGATCATAGGCATGTACCACCCCACTTAACTACTGTATGATTTTAATAGGATCCCAGGTGATTTTGAGAACCTACTCTATTAGAGTATTGAACAAGAACAAACTAGTATTTTGAGATTTCCTCCTGTTGGAGCTGTGGAGACAAGTGCTCTTTGAAAGAGCTAGACTTGGATTGGCTGTCTCCACATCCACTTCAGTCCCTTTTGGACATAAGGAGATTAGAATCCCAGAAAGTGTTTTGCCCAGACTCTTGTAACATATAACTAAGTCTCCTTGATGAGACTGAAACTTGCATTGCACAGATCTGGGTGTGGTGGTTGGCGCTTGTAATCCCAGCACTTGGGAGGCTGAGGTAGGGGGATTCTCAGGATCCTGTCATTTAAAAAAAAAAGGCTGGGGGCATGGATCAAGTGGTAGAGTGCCTACAAGGCTCTGAGTTCAAACCCCAGTACTACCCTTGCCACACACACACCCTGCAAATAACCAGGTGGGCCATGGCTCACGCCTGCAACCCTAGCTACCACTTGATGTACTTGCCAGCCTGGGCAAATAGTTCACGAGTCCCCGTGTCCAAAATGGACTGGAATTGTGGCTTAAGTAGTAGAGTATCTGCTTTGCAAGTTGAAGCCTTGAATTCAAACTCCAGTCACACCAAAAAAAAAAAACCAAAAAACACGGCAAAAACCACTGCACAGACTGTTTTAGATAGAGTCACAAGGAGAGAAGCAGAGGAGGTTCTGACAGGAGCTGGCCTATTTGATGGCACAAATTTTTGACAGAAGAGATACGGTTCTGAATTGCCAGCTGTAATGTCAACTTCCTGATTTGGTGGTGGCTTTTATTTGGCAGCTTCCTGACCCATCCCAGAGGCAGAAACTCCCTTGGCAGCCCAGTTCTGCAATGTGTTTTGGGGAGTTGTTCCTAGAACCTTGGCCTGCAGTCGTTTCTTCAGTTCTTCCATTGATTCTGTAAGCTGTTCTTATCCCTTAGTCTATCTCTCGACATACTCAAATTGGGTAAAAGTCTTGACCAGTCCAGATTCCCTGTGAGTGGTAATTGCTTTGGTCATATCCTCTTCTCCTTGGCTGTGGTAACCTACAAAGGAAGTGAGATGTATTTGCTGAGCTTCACTCATGAGAGAAGGGTATTCAGCACTGAGCTACAGCATGTCAGTGATTTAGTCAGACAGACCTGAATCCATGGAGAGAGAAGCTGTAACAGAATCCACTTCAGAACCCAACCTTTCTCATGGCTTTTTCACTGATTGAATGTTGTCTGGTCATTCAGTAAATACTCAATGCCCTTCCGTCTTGTACTAGCCCTGGGCCACATGCTAGGGATATGGAAATAAATAAAACATATTTGGGTTTTATCCTCAGTAATCTTAATATCTCACAAAGAATACAAATACAAAGTTAAGATTTGAAGGAACAGTACAGCATGCTAGGAGTCTTCCCGGCAGAGTAGCCAACTCTGGCATAAAAGTTGCCTTCTCACAGGATTCCTGGATGATTTTAAGCCCACTCATTAAAAAAAATTTCCCAGTTTGAGGGCTAGTAGAGTGCCTGCCTAACAAGTGTGAGGTCCTGAGTTCAACTCCCAGAACCACCACAAAAAAAAACAAATAAATAAAGGAATGACTTTGGGGATATGGTAGGGGTATGTGCTAGAGGTCCTATTCTGATTTTCCCCATAAGGGAGATGGTGGAGGAGGGATGAAGTATAGGGTGAGCTTCTTTTTTCTCTGGAGCAGAATGGGAGTCCCACTCTCTTATAGCATCTGGGGTGATGGGAATGTGTAAGGTGCAGGCAGTTCTCTATGGACAGGTATAATTCTATACACTGCCTTCCTACTGGTATCAGCATCAGAATCCTTTGATGTAAGTATGGTAGGGCCAGTTATGGACTTCACCTGAATAGTTTTCATTTAAATTCAGTTATCTTCTGTAGTTTTCAAGGTACCGAAAGGCAAAAGTAATGCTGACAAAGTTATTGTGCAGTTATGGATTCAGGCAGATTATTGCAGACCTGAAATAAGTGATTGTTCTACAAGAGTAGAAAGAGAAAAGTTCAGAGACCTTGTACTTACACTTGGTTTTGGGAGTCGTGGTTTGAACTTGACAGTTCTACTTTTATAGAGCACATTTGGATTTGACATCTAAGGAAATCTGATTCTCCCTCACTCCCTGCTTCCCTCCCTTCCTCCCTGTTCCTCCCTCTCTCACTATGTAGTCCAGGCTAGATTAAACACAGGATTCTGGCCTTAGCCTCCTTAGTGCCAGGATCAGCTGTGGGAAAGCTGATATTATTTGTTACTATTGCTGTTGTTTTTTAGTGTAACAGTTGAATTGTCCCTGGATTACACAGTACAGCTAAGATGAAGAAAACTAGAGAGTTGCAGTAGGCAGTGCAGTGAGGGAATAGAGGTGGATGTAGGCACTTGCTTAATGTGTGTTTCCTGGAAATTGCATACCATCCTTTTGCAGGTACAAGGGAGAATAGAGTGAAGTTTAAGAAATACTTGCAAATAGGAAAATGAAAGATGCATCACAGGTGGTTAAATGACGCACCTCACATATTTAGCATCTTACCTACTGTTCAGTATCCTGTCTTGAAGAGACTCCTGATCTTGAAATCACGCCTTTCCTGCCATTCTCAACCCTAAAGAATCCTGCCTCGCTTTGAGCAGATTTTTTTTCTCCTGCAGACAAAGGAGAGTCATATTATCACACCACATATTTTATTCCAGAATTATTGGGAAGATAGGAAGTGTCTGTGAACTGCTTTGAACTTTAGAATGAAAAGTATTCTAAAATGAATCAAATTTTATACAGGCAATAATTAGAGAATGGTTGGAGACTAAAGTGGTAGAGTACTTGCCTAGCATATATGAGGCCCTGAGTTCTATCCTCAGCACCACAAAATAATAATAATAATTATTATTATAGAGAAATGTCATTATGAAGACAAACAATTCAATGACTTCCATCAAAATAGAACGGAAAGGTGGTTTTTCCAGTTCCTTGCCATCAACAGACAATTAGACTTGGAATCATAGAGGGTATTTTTTTT